CAGGTTGGTGCCAACAGTGCCACTATGTAGGATGACAGAACACACGGATCCGTCATGTTCTGTAACAACTGACAGTCACCGTCGGCCTGTCAGCTACACCCCAAGCCAGAACTGAAGCTCTCATGGCCTAGCACCATCCACAGCAGACAGCAGACACTCGGGCTTCTCCTGAAAAATGAATGATGGCCAGGAATGGTGGTGGTGCACACCTGTAATCTCAGCATTCAGGAGGCTGAGACAGGAGGGCTGCTGTGAGTTCAAGGCCAGCATGGGCTAAATAATGAGACCCTGTCTCAAACAAAACCAATAAATAACAAAAAATGAACACATGATGGTGAGTAGTAAAGAGATGGGGGAGGGGGGGTGGCGAGGAGCAGGGGCCAGGTTGCAGGAAAACTTTGGACAGACCAGGACTCCCTTGGCAGCTCTTTGATAACACTGAGGAGCAGCCACTCAAGGCTTCTAATGAGGAAAATGAATGTGGAATGGAAAAACAATTGCCAAGAAAAAAAGAAAAAAAAAAACCCACCATGGTAATGCAGTACTGTACATGTCTGCCTCCTACCCCTGCCCCACTTTATTTCCCGTAACTTTCCTAAGTACAAAGTGAGACAGAGCAGAGGCAAAAAGCAAAACAAAACAAACCCGCAGAGATCTTGGTTATTTGAAAACAACATCCCAACATGTTTACTATTCTCATCTTCTCTCATCGCTGGACTTTCTGGTGCCACTCCACAGGTTTCCCCACTGCTCCAACTCCAGATGTCTCATCGCAGCAGAAACTTTCAAAGAAAGTCCTGCCAGAGGTGGGTCTGGATTCCAGGTCTTCCCCACCTTCGAGGCACTGACAGCACCAGGACCTCCTCTAACTAATGCCCTGTCATAGCCTTTTCTGCCAGACTGTAAGCTCTATTAGGACCGTGACCTTGAACCCTATCCTATGTGCACAAGACACTCTGTGTATGTGACGAGTGAACGTGTGAATCAATGAGTGAAAAAATTAATCCATTTTCCATGAAAATTATTGAAGAGTTGAATGTAAATACTTACTATTGGAGTGTACTCAAACTAGGACTACACCTTTTCCTAATTATAATGTGACTACCTACTATGTAAGGTTATCTTCTAAATGTTATGTCTCACATTCCCTTTCTAATCAGTGATACATTATTCTAAGAGAGGAACACAGTATTTTACTATTAAGAGCGAAATATTCATATGAAGTGTATCTAATTCAACTCCTGTCCACACTAGACCTACAAGAAACTTCAAAGTTAAGATTTTGATATTGTGCTTGAAGAATGGTTACCAATTAAGAGTTGTCAAGACTTTTAAGTAAAAAACAGTCCAATGAGTTTACAAAACTTTGGTGAAATCCCTTCAGTGCAAAGTAACAGCATATATGTAACTACATAGAATCTTTTTATAAATCCAAGTAAAAAATTGAAAATAAAAATGCTGTGATAATTTTTGAGAATCTATTCTAAACTTTTCTTAAAACTGTTATCAACCTTTTTAAAAAGATACAACTAAAGAACTGTTAACAGCTAAGCATTAGAATAATTCCCCAATGATTCCTTCACTATAGGCAAATTTAACAACACAAAAGGTCAAAGACATCCTTTAAGAAAAAGAAAAAAAACCCAAAAAACTAGAGTCTTCATGGCAAGATTTAACTCACAACCAAGACCAAAAACAAAAAAAAGATTTTTTTCAGAAATGGTCCAAACACTGCTGAAAAATAAACACAACTGAAGACATGTATAATAAACATAGAATACACATGTAATAAATGGCTAAAGTTTCATTAACTGATAGTAACAAGAGCTGACAAAGTTGCAGATCAACTGGGTCTCTCACAGACTGCAGATAAGATGCAGCACAGAGCAGCTGTTATGGAAAATAGCAGTTCCATAAAGTTACTGACAGCAATAAATCTACAATTATTACAGGACCAAATAATTTCATTTCTCGGTATTAACTCAAGAAACCTGAAAACTTTTGTCCCTCACACAGACTTTGACGCAAATGTTTATAGTATCTTTGTGCATAATTGGCCAAAACTGAGAGCAACTGAAATGTCCATTGATTGCTGAATGGACACACTTTGGTACCTGGATACCGGGGAATGGTGCTCAACAACATCAAAAGAAAAAAAACTCAGTGGTATGCTAGAACAGGATGGTACCCGCCCAGTGCTAAGTTTTTGGAATTTTTTGCAAGCTGGTTTAAGAAGCCAAACATAGGCTAGGTGTCAGTGTTCAAGCCACAATAAATAGCAAATGGACAAACCAAGGAGGCAGGAGGGGCAGGCAGGCTGTGAAAACATTTATCAGCCTACCACTGAATGCACTGTTACATCCAAGAGCTGAGTGAATATCACAAGCATTGTGCAAAGAGAGAGAAGACATGAAACCAACAAACAGTATGATTTCATTTACACCATATCCTAGGAAAGACAAAACTCTAAGAACCTTAATTAGATTACCAGAGGTTCATGGTAGGAAGAGTTCTGGCCACTAAGGGCATGAGAGGACTTTTTGGAATGAGGGAAAAGTTCTATGGTACATCTCAATTGGCAGTGAAGATTATCCAACTAGATGCAGTTGCAGAGCTTTTACTGCATGTAAATTACTTTCATAAACCTGCCTTTAAAAAAATTAAGTAAAAGCCATTTATTTATTTTACGGATGCTAAATATATCAAATATACAAAGGGGAAAGTGGAACTCAGTGGAAACACCAGGAAGGCACATTTTGATACAATATAAAAAGAAATATTTAAAATGTCAAAAAGTGAAATGAATCTGTAATCACAGAAAGTACTAAAATCCTGTGAATGATCCTGCCAAAGATGCTGCAGCAATGGCTCTACTCTGGTGTGAGTTCAAACTAGTATTAACAGAGGTTATTATCACTCAGATATCTTTCTACTGGGCATCTATGGCCCCAAATCCCATGGTATTGGATGTGTCTATAATCTCAGATAAATTTTCATGTCTATCTAAAACATCACTTAATCATTTTAACATCAATTAAACGCTGTCACTGATTCAAAGTCCAGTACAGCCTGGTTATTAGCATTGCTGGCTCTGGGATTATACAGTCAGGGGTCAAATGTTGGCCCACTAATATCTAAATGTCTCTAAATATTTCTCTCTCCATCTGTAAAAAGGGATTAACATTTTCCTGAGGTTTGCATAAGAGTGCATGAAAAACTATTTCTGTGTGCTCTCAATCATAAACATTGCTTAGACATAATTACAAGGAAAGTATATAAATTACACTAAGAATTTTAACTTTCCACAAATACTGTACTAGAAATTTATTCCCTACTTTTCTTCGACATGGGGTCTTATTGTGCTGGGGCAATAACACCAGGGCTCAAGCCACTGACCTTCTTCAGCCTCACAGGTGCTGGGACTACAAGGCCCTGCCTGGAAATCTGTTCATTATTTATATGGCCAGTGGTTCATCTTTTGTAGACTAAGTTCCTTTTAAGAATATGATGACTGCGTGGCCTCTTTACCCAGAAAAAAATGCAAATAGATGCTACATCTTGTATATGATTTCTGGAGACCAGGGACCTCATGAAACACATGCATAAAATTAAGAATGCCTGATAAAAACTCTTAAAAACTGCAAAGTTGAACAGTGGAATTCAAAGAATCTTCCAAGGAGAGAATCCAACTGATACTGAAATATTACACTCATTTAATTTTTTGGTCCTATTTTGCAAGTACCAAGATCAGAGCATCATGTCTTCTAATTCATATCTTTTTGCAGAAATTTTAAGTTAGAAGCATATTTTTAAATGAATCCATTTCACAACACACACAGAAACTTGTAGTAAAAATCTATCTCTGGTAGCTTGAGACAGAATGGTTTAAAGCGTAACACACAGTATGTGCTCAAATATCATAGGAAGAGTCCTCAAGTCTAATGCAATATATATTTTTAAATACTGCATAAAAGCTCACCAAGCTAATTCCTATACTTAGAGTCCCATGGCAAGTTTTTCTTTTTAAAGTGGGATGTTTTGTTTACTAGACCTATTAGCAAAAACCATGTCTAGATTTTGTAAATCAGCACATTCTTGGTCCTATTTGTGATGTTTATTTGTCACAGGGCACAATAGTGGAAACTAATTGTTCCAATTCTACCAAACAAATAACCAACCTGGAAATATGCTATCTCAATACAAAAGGTTTTGTTTTCTTTTTTGAATTGTTTGGCTTCCAGGTGACACAATAACTAGTTGGCAATAACCAATTCCTGCCCATTACTGAACAAGAATAGTTTTTTGCATGCATAAACACCATTTTCCCCTAGAAAGCACCTAACCATTTTCAAAAGACTGAATGTCTAAGCCAGAGTTGACATACATAGTAAACAACTGCTGGGTCTAGGGCACCACATCATGTCGGTGCAGGAAGACCTCACAGGGGAGATTTGGAATCAAATGGCCAAAAGCGATGAAATGCAGCACCTCTCGGTCCAACTCTGGCCAGATGGATTTGGTCACAAAGGTCATGGGTGTTTTTAAACCGCGGCGTAAGCGTGAATGTTTGGGATGCCACAGCATCGCCTGCACAGGAGGGCAGGAGCATCTCCCACTCCTTCTCTAGGGAAGGGTTCCAGGTGCCAGGCTTGAGCCCGAGGCCCGCAGCCCGGAGCAGGTGCGGGATGAGGCCTGGCCCGGTGCGCGCGGGAGCGGGGACCTCGGGGACCGGGTGGGGGTGCGGACCGCGCCCACCCCGGGCGCCCAGGTCGCCGTCAGCCCGCTGTTCGCGGAGACCGTCCCCTCCATCCCCTCCCCGCACCCGGACCCCGGCCCGCTCCCGACCCCGGCCCTGCACCGGCGCCCTCTCCAGGCCTTGGGGACGCGGGCCAGGCTGGCACTGGTGGCCTCGGCCGAGAACAGCAGCTGGGCCGCGGCCTGCGCCCGGGGCCGGACGGGCGCCCTGGCCAGGCGCGCACAAAGGAGGGGCGCGGACTCACCAGAAGGGACGAGAACGCCTCTAGGGACCGGGGACCGGGGTGACACCGCCGGGGACTGAGCCCGGCCCGGGATCGGGTCTGGGGGCGGCGGCCGAGGTGGCCGGGACCGCGCCGCCGCCTACCCGGCTCCGGGCCTGGCCCCCGTGCCGCCGCGCCCCGCTGCGCGCCCGGCGCCTGCCGCCACGGCCTGGGCGCCGCCCGGGGCTCCGCTCCCCATCAAGGCCCGGACGCGATGCGGCGCCCGAGCAGGGACGTGGGGGCGCGCCGGTTCGCGCGGCCGCCGGTGGCCATCTTGGTCCTCGCTCGGCTCCCTCGGCGTCCCCAGCTCCGCGGACGCCGGGATCCTCCTCCTCCTCCCGCTCCTCCTCCCGGGCCGCCCTAGCCGGGCCCCGCCCGCGTCCCCGCTCCTCCTCCTCCCCCAGCCCGCCCGTCCGCAGGCACCGTGCGTTCCCGTCCCTGCCCCGCGCGCTCCCGTCCCTGCCCCGCGCGCTCTAGCCTGCCGCGCTCACCTCCCTCCGGCTCCCCGCGACCCCGCCGGGGAGGGCCCTGCTCTGTACCCACACTCGCCCCCGTCCGTCACGCGAGACAGGAAGCGCGAGGCTGCACCCGGTCCGCCCGGCCGGAGCACAAAGCGCGGCCCTGCCGGCCCTCACAGCGCCGCCTGCGCCCTCCGGACCGCTCCTGAGCCCTTCTCATAGGGCGCCCTCCTCCGGGACCTGGAGCGCGTCTCCCGAGGCCCGGGGCTCTCTTTTCCCTCCTGCAAAGGGCATTGTTTGCACCGCCACAGCCTCCGGCAGTGTCGTGCACCAAAGTGCGCTCTGGGGAGCTAAGAACGGTGTGACCCTCGGTTGTGGAACCCACACACGATGGGGGTCGCGCTTCGGTTCTGGGCGTTGGAACAACTGAGTCAGCAGTTAGGACTGGACTCCCTCGCGCAGCCCCGTGTGTGGAAGTGGTGAGGATTTCCCCTCGTGGAGATGAAGCAATAGGGGCTTGCTGTTTGCTCCTGAGTGGCCCAGAGCGCCTCGGGAATTGGACCCATTTGTGCTGGCGGACTCACCGAGGCCCCTTCCTGCGGCCCAGCCCGAGATGCATGTGAGAGGAGCCGCTGGGGGTTCTGCTTCTGGGGTGCCTGCCAGAGACAAAAGGACATTGCCTTTGAGAAGAACAGATGAGAGGTGTTCAAAGGTTATTCCTTCAAGAGGCCAAGTGAAACAGGAATGTCTTAACGTGTAGTTTTAGACTCTACTTAAAATGAGTCGTTTTAAAGTTCAAATCTAAGATTCTGTAATTATAAAAATGTAGGGATTTCAAAGCTCCGAAAGCTTTTTTGCAAAACGAAGCTAAAACGCACTTAATAAAAATGTTAGTATCCTTTGATGGAAAGGGGGGGGAGACTTTTTCTTTCATCTTCACAGAGTAACCTGTACCCAGTTAAAATTTCAGTTACCCGTATCCTTAGGTACTAATAACTCTTCTACTTGAAATCAAAAATCTGCACCATGGCCGAAAACTCTTAAGCCCGAACAAAGTCTCTGAAACAGCATTAATACATTGTAGAATAAATGATTGAAAACTAAGTACCAATGTGGGGAGGGAGCCATGTGTATTGATGTTCCTTCCTTGTGGACTTTCATGTTTATTCCTTAGATTCTGTTTCTCCAGGCCAAGGAAATTATCACAAAATTCTTGACTTTTAGGTATTCACTCATAAAACTATGTTTGGAGAAAAAAAGAAAACCTATTGGAGGATAGGAATACACACAGGGAGACAATCTGTTGATTTAAACGTTGAGCCCAAAACACATTTTAAAAGAGAGATTTTCAATTAATTATGAAGTTTCAGGACTCTTGTAATTGAAATTTTGTTTACACTAAAGGAAGAAAAATTCCACGTTTTAAAATCCAGTATTACTTTTATTATTAAATATTTTTGTGTTAAAATATATATTGTAATAAAGTTCATGCAGTTTTCATGATGTTGTTCAAACAAAATCTCACAAAGGTTTGCAATGACTGACACAGAAATAAATGAAGCAAGGTTTTCTCTTTTTTTAACAGAAGCCACAAAAATAAGAATGTGACAATGGTGGATGGAATCCAGAGAAATCAGACCCTTCACATTTACTTTTCTGCGGCTGTTTCAGATCCGTCATCATTACAGGGCTTACCTTTAGTCTTTGTTCCCAGCTAAATGTAGTTTCTCTGTAATCTTAGGCTTGGGTATTTTAAAAAAGTGAAATTGATCAGGCCAGGTTCTCCCGCAACATGACTATTGTTTCTTATGCATGCACTCTCCGATGAACTCAAGGTCCTCTATAAAACAAAGAATTTTGTTAAAGTGGGATAAATCCTTTGTGTGAGGCCAGATGGAAGGAGATCCAGGCATGTGCAGCAGACTCCTCTGGGAATGGAGAGGCAGGCATGAAGGGCCATTTCTAAACAGTTCAGCACCACCAGACTAGTTCCCAACAGCATCTACGAAGGAGGTGATCGTGGACAGGAAGGATCCAGAGGATGTGCCCAACAATGAACAAAACCCATGCTTGCTTTAATATGACTGAAAATTCTATGAACATGAATAAGCAAAACAACTTTAAAGGAGAGAGGGGTGGAGTTAAAAGTTTCATGAAAAATATCTGAGATGAAGAGGAAGAAAAATTTAAAATGAATATAAAAGCAACTTTGGCAATTGTTAGGATAAATAATATGTACTGAAAAGTTACTATTAAACAAGTATTTCCTTTACGTTTGTTTTCAAGACTAATTAATTTAAACATGGGCACTTAGAATTATCCCAGAAATACCTATCAGTAAATTCTAGAATTCCAAGATATTACCAGAACACAGCTAAGTTATGCTAGAACACAAAAGTCATAAGGAATTAAGGCTTTAACTGATACACTCACACAAAAATTACTTATGCACTACATTGCTTAATTGTTGCGTTTAAAATATATTTCCCCCTTCCCAGGCTATTAGCTGCAACAATAGTATTACCATATTGTTTTTTCTTTTTTTTTTTATATTGTTTTTTCTTGTTTGAAAGAACCAGATGGAAGAGAAACTGAGCAAGCAAATGAAAGTCTCGAGGGATTGTGAGAACTGAACGTTTGTAAAAAGCATATTCCAGACCAGAAGATGGTCTTTGGTAAATGTGCAGTTTTATTCTCACAATCTCTGTTCCTTAGAAAAGTAATCATATTTCTATTCCACATATTTCTCTCATGGCCTGTTAAAGATCAAGTGAATAATGACAAGCCATATTATCTGCACTGATGGAAATTGAGTATCATTCTTCACTCCTCAATTTAGAGAACTCCTTGTAATTAACTGATGAGCTGTCCCCAAGACAGAGCCATTTAGGGTCATTACTGAACTCTAATTGGGGGAAATCCTTTCAGAAAGTTCCAATTAGAGACATTTTCTGTTGTTCTTATGAGTACTACATTCAAAGGAGGTAGGGGAGCATTCATTTTCTTGGTGAGTGTGGCTTGGTGTATTGTTTCTGTTTCTACTTAAGTAAATAATAAAAGGTAAAGATCTTTAAATTTCAGAGTATGTGAGAAATCTGAATAATAGCAATATGTGCTCTTGTTCATCATAATGACCAGGATTATAATAGAAAAAGTGTTTTTAAAAGGATTTTATTATTTATGAGTTCTATTTCTCTATGAAGCTGAAATCTATTTTCATTTCTCTTGGATTTCTTCAGTTATGCAGAGTTTAGACTTTTTAAACTAGGATTTTTATGATGTTTTTACAAGTTAACAGTACATATAGTACATTTATTTCACTTACAAAAATATTTTGGCCAAACAAAAAAATAATTAAATGGCTTTCTTAACATTTTGTGCAGGGCTAGGGATTTAGCTTGGTGGTGCCACTCCTGCCTCACAAGCGCAAGGTCCTGAGTTTGATCCCCAGTACCAAAAAAACAAAACAAAACATTTTGTACAAACCATGTAGCAATGTGAATGAAACCTGGGTGTCCTGACTCAGTCACAAGTCTGAAACTTCAGAGTTTTCTTGTTTTGTGTTGGTTTGGTTTTTGGGTTTTTGACACCACGTCTTACTACGTAGTTCATTCTGGCCTTGAACTCACTATGTAGCCCACGCTGGCCTCAAACCTTCAGTGATCCTCATTCTTCAGCCTCCCAAGTGCTGAGATTACAGGTATGGGCCACTATGCTCAGCTTGAAACTTCAGAGTTTTTGAGAAGATTTATCTTACAGGTGAGAAATGGAAACTTTTAACTATGCCATGTCAATTTAAACACTATTGAAATTGTATTTACAGGATTATTGTTCAATTTTGATTTTTCTTAGAAGTAAACCTAAATAGTAAACTGAGTTTTCCTGGTTACAAAAATGAGAATTGTTTGCAATAAAACAAGTTAAAAAAAAATTCAAATATAAAAAGTTTGTTTACTAAAAAAAAGTGTGAATTATTTTTAATCTAGAATAGTCCCTATTCTACAATATTCATTTAGGATAAAAAAGTACAAGTAAAAGTAAAACTGTCAAATATCTCCTATTTCACAGATTGAGTGGAAATTTGTGTCCTGAGGAAACAAAAACCTCAATTACCTAAATAAGGTAAAGTACTGCCATCTGCTGACGAGGATTGAAAAACTAGCCCTTGAGATCTGTATAGTTAATTTATTCCACGTCTTTTAATCTTGCTAAAAAGTACCACACTGGGAGATATAAAAATTAATCCGTCCCCTAAATGAAAACTTAGGACTATATGATCCATTAGCGTGTAATTGCTGTTTTTAGCTTTGAAAATAAACCAACATTTAAAAGTGACTATATTGGTCATGTAACCATATTTGGTTAGAACCACAGTAGTTAAATGGCTAAAATGTAAATGAAGAAATGAAGTTATTGTATTAGCCATTTTTCCATCACTGGAACAAAATACCAGACACCCACAACTTTAAAAAAGAGGGGTTCATTTTGGCTTACCCAGACATGAGCTCATCAATGAATTAATCCACTGATCAATGGATTAATCCACTGATGACTACAATGCACCATGATCCAACCACTTTCCCAAAGCCCCTCCTATGAATGAGGGGCTTTTGGGGGACATTTTAGATCTAAACTATAAGGTTTTAACTAGAAGTTCTG